AAAAAAAAAAAAAAAAAAAAAAAAAAAAAAAAAAAAAAAAAAAGACTAAAGCCATGCTTATGCAACATTGTACACGTTTCAGCGTACGAAGATATTTATTAGCAACTCGATAACAGTATGCCTTTGTAAATATTGTATATAAATAAAACACACCGATTTCGTGTTATACATTTTGCATTATGATGCTCCTCCTTCTCAACATTCCTTGATCTCAAGTAACCATTCTAAATGATTTGTAAGTATGAAAATGACAAACTTCAAATGCGAGTACATGTATGAGCAAATGAGCGTTTCTGTTAGACAATAAACTATTAGGTTAATGCATATGAAATGTCGTTCCTTTGGAGTTCGAATTTATCAATTATCGATTATCAATCACATGAAAAGTATAGCGTATTTAGATAAAAAGATAAAGAGATTTGCAATAAAAATCTCGAAATCTTATTAATAATCATGTCACGAATAGTTAGAAGAATTCTATGATTTTCTCATAAGAATTTACATTTAGAAATACTGAATACATGTTTAATGTTTTTGCACAAGTTTAAAGACACCCCTCCCTGCCACCTAGACAATTTTTTAATGCTTAAATTGAAAGAAATTGCAAATCGAAGATCCTGTACCTAAAAATTCTGTCCTAAGGATACACGATACCTTGAAGATGCTATCAAAATTCTAATAATGTTTCAAATTAATATTTGAAATTCGCAAAAGATTTATCAACATTCGAAAAACCGATATTTCACGTCCATTAATCTAATAGGTCTTTTTTATAAATAGTTCCATGTAAAATATCCAAAAATTGAAGGGAAAAACTTTTTGGTTTCGAATCGAGACCTGGACTATTTCCCCAAGAGATTTAATGCATCCATGGACGTTAAATGCACTCGGTAAAAAGGGGATAGCACTATCTCGTATAGTAGTCGAGAACAAAGCTTGGAAACGTATATCTTCGAAACAGACCAAAAGGTGATCGCATAAACTCTGCCCGGTTGCTGTTGAAATTCAGGTCAAGGAAAGGACGCGATTTATCGTGGCCCCGTTTCCAGATAATCTTTGTTTCAAGATGCGAGAATCTCAGATACTTAATGAGAATCTTCTTCTATCTGTCTTCAATGTTTTACGTTGGAATCTTGGTGTCTTTTATCGCGAGTAAATATATGGTACTGACCCGGCCGGGTTACTTACGACTGAAATCTCTTCGATCGAACATATAATTTCTCGTTCCTTCCAAATACTCTCGTAACTAAAGATTTTCGAGGACAGCGCAGAGATATCAATAGTCTATTATTCCATTCAAAGTGAGTGCATCTTTGTACCCGAGAAGCAACAAAATCAAACTTTTACCAATCTCTATTGCCTTAATTTATTTTAGAAAAAAAGAGAGTGTTAGCTTCAAGCTTTTGTAATAAATAATTAACGTAATAAATTCCAAATCATCAGATTTCTACTGGTGAGAAATGCAGTCATTCTTGTTAATATTCAGATACTATATAAGTATTGTTTTATAGATTTGTTTGCAACAATCGTTATCGAATTGCTTGCTTCTTAATTTGTTCTAGTTGATAGACGCGTAGATTTTATTCGGTTTATCTTGAATTTCTTAAATTATCTAAATTTCGTTATATAATTTTTATATTTCAAATGCGATTCGCTTTTTTCCCTTCGAGTAATGCATCAAAAAATTAAATGTAACATTTTTGAGTATTGTCAACTCGCCAAGGATTAAATATAACTTTTAACTTGCTATTTATGATAATGTAATAAAAAACGAAAATTAAAAATTATAGTAAAATTTTGAAGAAAAGGGTACTATTATAATTTTAATTTCTCGAAACGTAGATATAAATAACATATCGAAATCATTTTTCAATTGACTGATAAACAAGAATCTTTCTACAACTATTGCTTCTATCAATAACAATTCAACTGAAAATAATTCCTATGTTTACTGCAATAAATTAGGAAGAATATAAAAAATTTGTTTATCCCAAATTCAATATTTCAAAATATGTGATGCCAAATCTCACCAAAAGATGTCAGCATATACTATTTAAGCAAACTCCCTATTTTATCGACATATTGCTTAATTAATTGCTTTTTCAAATCAAATGATATATGAATGAAGTATTGACTAACAGGATAGACCAGACATCCAATGCTTTTTCGTGTCCCACTATTGACTAATTAGGATAGACCAGACATTAAATGAGTTTCGTGTCTCAGGAACTGAAGTACCGACCAAGAAAAAAAAATCACTGGTTTTTTAACATCTTCTATGCTTAAACAACGGTGAACTAGAGAACTACGTCAAACAAAATGATACAAGTTGGTTCAAGAAAATGATATCCTTTACAGTGTTGTCAATTGCATATCTCCAGCACAGACGAGGAAGAAATATTCGAGGTAAAAATATAATTTAAAATTATACTAATTTTATTTCCCATAATAAAATGTCATCGAATTCAATTCAAGAAATAATTTTCAAAGAGGAAACGGCAACACTGCCCATATCTTTTGATTTTAATTTCTATAAATCTCCAAATTAAATATTCTATAATAGTGCAATACTTATCTCGTCGACATGACAGGATGTGACACGAAAATGGCAAGAGGATTATATGGACCTCCCGAAACCTGGGACACGAAAAAGCATTGGATGTCCAGTCTATGCTAGTTAGTAAGTGCTAGTTAGTCGATAATTGTATTAAACGGGCTCTCGAATGAGTTTACTATTTGACTCACTTCCAGGATAGACAGAGGTACCTCTATACTTCTACCGTTACCGACTGAGAGTAAAAGAACAACGCGATATTTGCAACTGTTGGACACCGAACCAAATTCTAATATAAAATTATAAATAACTTTCAGCGCAATACGCTGCTATTTGTATTTCATATATGCTATATGTTTAATGATTGAAAATACGAAAAAAAATATATATTGGTAAAAATTATTGGACTTTTTTACAAAAAAAAAAAAAAATACTACTACTACATGCTACAAATTCTAAAAGCGAGCATAGTGACAAAATAGTAACAAGAATGATTTCTCATGCTTTAGATGGATTTCCCATCCAGAGAATGATAAGCCATTTGTTGCAGCCCTCTTCTATGGCAGTTTGCCGAGCCTCTTCTTTTCTTCGGGCGCGATGCCCGCTGAAACTTAAATCTACGCTCGAGTCTTTCTAATCGCAAAACCAAAAAATAACTTATAAAGGTAAAATGAAAAGATAAACCGCGGAAGCTGATCCCAATACACATGGACGACCATCGATCATAGTGATCGTTGTCCGTTAGCATGTGCGTGCTCGAGCAATACCTACATGAACGTCCGTTTCGGTACCTACTCGCGACCTATCCGCGACCGCGACCGCGATACTAAATTCAAAAAATTGAAGAGTAAAGTCAGAAGCAGGTGGCATGCTCCACTTGTACCACTGTCGATTTTTCAAATTAAATTTCCAACAGGTTGGACACGCGAAAAGAAGACACGCGACCAGAGACTGTGCCAACCTGTCCGGCCCTACCTACTTACAATTAAACACATTCACACCAGAAAGTATGCTACCTATCCTAACCAGTCGCCCTATATTTAAAAAATGACAAAACAGGCACACCAACACATTCATTCCACGATTCTCACACATACCACTCGGGCGCAAACCTAAACTAGAGAGGACGTCCCGGGACGCCTCCGACACCCCGAGCTTACACACAACTTTCACACTCTGATTTACGTACCATTTTCCTGAAATCGACTGACAATGGCTAGCGATCATTGCGTAAATGGTTGAAATATATTTATATTTACTGCTAATATTAATAACTGAGAAGAAATACATGTAACTT